TTCTATTTAATGTTTTTTAAGTTATATCCACAAAAATTAGAAGGGGATAAACATAACTGCATCTGCCTTTTCAAGTATTAAGGATCTGTTTGAATACAAGTTAGAAGTAACTTTTGAGAATTGAAAATATACTAAAAAGTGCTTCTAACTATGTATTTGAACATGCTCTAAATATCTCTAACCAATACTTAAAAGATGAAGTAAGTGGAAAATAAACATCTCAAGCAGCTGAATCTAAGCTTTGTGGTAGACACTGGTTTATATCTTAGCAAGGCAAAATCATATATACATTTTTCCTCCCTTTTACAATCTGCATTCTGAAGCTACCCCAGTTAAATTTCAGAGTGCAGAACTAAAGTGATTCCCTCCTATCAACAGCATCAAAAGATAATTTTCAATCAGATGAGAGAAACTTGTGGAAAATTTTCAAGAAAGAGCAACACTTTTATCTTATCTGCCAGCTAGTAGCCAAAACATAATTACAGATGATAATGAAGTTGAAAACCAGCTTAGGAATGCTAGTGCCACAGAAACCTGGTACTTCTGACACTCCTCTCCAAAGTGGCAGTGTCCCAGATCATGAAAGTACAAAACTGTTATGCCAGCTGAGGCAGAAGCTGCTGCTAGAGACAGTGTTGCTGTCACCTGTGGAGCATGGACAGTGGTCAAGGACAAAACTTGTCAAATGATAAACATCATAACTGTACAACTAAGTGCTACTGTCTGTAACAGGCTAATCATACTTTTGAAAGAGATATAAAGATTATCCAAACATGCAAAAGTTGGGAAGAGTATAGGTTGGCTAAGAGACTAACCCAATCTCCAACTACAAAGAGGCTGATTAGTACTGGACTGAGAAGAGACTGTTTTCTCACCAAAGAAAACAAATCCAATAAAGCTAGCAAAAAACTCCAAATGATTTGTAATCCCATTGAAGCTATCAAATAACTGTATAATTACCAATGGAACAGTCAGCTTTTGAGTTATATGATATATCCAACATACATGCATTGCTATTGAAGTATTCATGAACAATGCAAGGTTAATTTCTTGATCACCACTTCATCAGAAAAAGCAAAAAGCTTCATGAGACATGTTTTATTTGTTGTCTAGGAAAAGAAATAACATAAAATTGAATAGAAAGCAATATAATTAGTAGGAGGTCTATCACAGTCTCCCTCCATTGAGGTTCAACTGCAGACCTCCTTTCCATGCAAGCACTTCCTTCATCTTGACCGAGGCTGGTTTCTTAGTTTCTTGTACCAAGCTGCCAGATCAGCCATCATTTGCGCAAAGAGCCAAAGTACATAAAGACACATTCAGATGTTTCTTCAATTCTAGCATTCAAGCATAAAGTCCTCGAAGAAATGCATCGTGATCTTGAAGTGAAATCCATTTCCTCTTTATAGGGAAGAGGAAAAAATTGACGGAGGAGAGCCTCTTCTGAACAAGTCCAGACTCTTTACTGGATTTTTTATGTTGTCCTCTGCTGAGTATTAATAATACAATGATGTTGGTACTTTAGAAATCTTTTTAATATATTTTAAAACATCAAAATTAGTGTTCATCATTTGCTAATCAAAATACCAACTAATTAATTTCCTGCAACAAAATCACTTATTGGACCTAAGTAGTCAGTGGTAAGGCATTTTTTACTTATAAGGTAAATCAAAGTATACATCTTCGGTGCCTCACAGTAATTTGGAATTGAATAGTTCAAATATCTCCTCACAATATGAAAAACAAAAGCAAGCAGAGTGCAATCTCACGAAGCCACTAATTGCAATTTACTGAATCCACACATTCATAAATCATAACTGTTGGATGAATATCGGAAGATTCAACATCCCATATATGAGTCATTTGTCCAATGGTTCAAATTGGTTGAATGCATTGACATCCATACATATTCAGCAATTAAGATGAAGCAATCAGAAAACAATCTACTAACGTATGACACGATTAATGTCTTTTGGGAACACAACACTCATAAAATCTCTGTCATTCAGACACGTTCAGCATTGAGGATGAAGCAAGCATAAACAATAGAAAAACATATAATATGGGTAATTTATTTTGAGAACACAACAGTCATTCATGAAACTCAGACCAAACTGAAATAAGTGCAGGATGGAGTTTTGCAGAAGAAAAACAAAATCTTGGCTTGAATGAGAGGAGAAGGGAATTGACTGATTACCAAAAGGCAGTCAAATTAAAGAATCTGGATGTGGTGGCCATGGAAGCAATTGACCCAGCAGCAAAAGTGAACTGTGTCATCCTAAGAACCAGTGCAAGAACGGAACCAGGAGCCCCACAACAATTCATCTTCTTTCTCCGCCAAATCAAATCAATGATCAGCCCCTCAATGCCTAACAATGAACACACATTTTCAGATTTCAGTCCAAAGGACAGAACAAACCATCAATGGATCGAAAGGTGAGACTTTTAACATCAACTTCACACCCCCATCACACACCACACAAAGTCACAAACAAACAGAAAGATAAGGCACAGAAATAGAGACCCAAAGGGGAGAAAAAAGAAGAATAGGACAAATCAGAGATTCCAAGTTGAAATTTGAATCTGGCTTAACACAACCCAACAAACTAGACAGAAGAAAGGAACAACACAGACTGAAGAGATGATGGAGCAGAGAGAGAGAGAGAGAGAGAGAGAGAGAGGACTATGAACAATTAATGTTAGCAATTCATCATAAATTCACTTTATTTATGAGGACCATGATAACGATATGAAAGATTTTATCAGTTAAGTACTTTTTAATATGCCATTTAAACTTTTTCATTCAATAACTTGTGGATGCACTTCAGCGTTTCCACCATGCTTATTACCTAATAAAAGGACACTTATGATCTATATATTAGCACAAATGATAGTAATGAGAATTATTCATCAATTTTTTTCATCCAAAAAAGTAAAATTTAAAACCCTAAATTTTAATTACCTGATTTAAGATCAATGTCACTATGCATATTTTAACATTGGATCTTAATTATAGAAAAGAAAAACTTAACTATATTAATATTACAAGTTTTCTGAATTTTACAGCTTTTTCTTTCACTCAAAAAGTGGTCGATCTCATTTCACTAATAATAATCTCTCATGTGCAATTTGATATTTCATGAAAAAGTAAATTTATATCAAGGTTTGAAAAGAAAAATATTTTCTGTATACACAAATTTAACAAACCTAACTCAATGTGTGGTTTCATCTTAAAGATAATTTTGTTGATATTCAAGTCAACAAGCCAAGTTATAGCCTTCCTCCACGCCATAGTTTTTGCCTTAACGGGTTGAATATTGCTACAAAAACATAAGGACTTAGCCTCACCATGTTAGTATCACAAACTTTTTTTTATTAATGATGATGATGAAGAGTTATTAATTTATTGCGTTAAAAGTTTTAAGTTGAAAAATGATATCAATATATAGTCAGACTTAGATTTTAATAATGTTGTATTTTTTTTAATAATCTCTTTCTTTTGTAAACCCAACATACATAAATCTTTCTTTCATATTTTTTTTATTGAGCTTTGTAAGTTTATAATGTTATATTTTTTTCAAAATTTTTTATGTAAGTGAGAAGAGAGATTCTTCCTGCATTTCTTAATTTTCGTCCTACATCTCCAAAGTGTTAACATTATCTCTTTGATTAACCAATAATTTTTCAAAACAGTTGAAACCTTAATCAATTTTCAAAAGTTAGTGAAGTCTTAATTAACTTTTGAAAACCGTTAATGGTTAATAAAAAGGCAATATTAAAATTTTAGAAATGCATGACGAAAATTAAAAAGGAAGGAAAAACCTCTCAAATGAAGAAATCCTAACATGTGTTTTATGAAATATTAAAGAAAAAAAATAAAGACATTTTTAAGGTGAAGAAGACTTCTAATCATGTTTTTTTGTAATATTTCTTAAAAAATTGTGTTCATTTTGCTCTTATTGATTCATGCATTCATAAACACATTATTTATTTCTATTATTGTTATGAAAATTATGAATATGTTGTTAAAATCTATAATTATGTGCCTTCAAAGGGATGAAAAGATTATCCTTAAGCATTTTGATGATTGAGATGTAAAACGAGAGTAATTTACTCAAATAAAACCAAACAGTATTGTTTTTTTGTAAAGAAAAACAAAAGACTTCTAGCATAAGTATATCCTTGATATAATTTTTGATAAATTACTCGTTTGTTCATTAGATGTGAGAGGAATTCTTAAGTCGGAAAAAACTATATAAGAAGTCCAACAGGTATGATTTACTAGTATGTTTCCTAGAACTGTTTTTGCGATTAAAAATGTAATTTTAAGAATTGATTTGACATTACATAAGAGATTATTAAAATAATGTTTTTTTTTTAAATATATATCACCTTTTTAAATTTAATATTTATTAAGAATTAATACAAAATAAGTTAAATTCTATTGAACAAAAACGTATGAATATTATCCAGTTAGTAAAACAAAATTTCACTTTCAATTTCTTACTTTTAAGGTGATTTGGTTTATACAGAAAGATTTGTAGAGTAAATCTACCTATACTTGCATAAACCAACTTATTTTTCTAATTCGCCATTCATGCAATTTAATAAAGTGCATAAATCATATTTAACATGGATCTTTCAGAAAATATCTTATAATAAAAAATTACCCTTGAATAATGGGTTAAGTGTAATTCTAAATAAATAAAAAATGTATGTAAAAAATATTGGGTTTGTCATAAATATATTTTATATCATCATTGATATAATTCGTTTTATATTGGTTCATTGTTCTGCTGTGATCTTAGACAAAAGTTGGTGAGTTTTGAAATTCCACCCATTCAACCTCACATTGCTGGTGAGGATATACTTTTAACAGAAATGAACAATCTTTCAACAATCATGAGAAGACATTGAAATACTTGATGAAGTTTCAAACACGAGAAGAGAAAAAAGCAAAGTATTTGACAAGTACTATCTTCAATACAAATAAGTTGTACTCAAATCCTAAAATGCATCAGAGGAGGAATTTGATTCGCACATTTACGGTAGTGAGCTAAAAACTCTGGAACCGAAAATTCTCTGTATTTTGCAGGATTTTCTTCTGATAATAACTCCTTGATGGGACCATAAATCCTTGCATTTGAATGAGAACTTGTTGTTAGAAAGCATGCAATAGAAACTCTTGGACTAACACGGTTGGCAAGTACTCTATGTTGAGCACTCTTGAATCTGTCATTTGAGAGAAGCTGGTGTTCAAAAATATTCTACATCAGTCATCATAATCATTTACCAAGTCTCACATTAACAAAGTCTTACATTAACTTAACTAAAGTCATACATTAACTAAAGATAAAATCAGTCATTATAATCATTTAAGAAGTCTTACATTAACTAAAATCTTACATTACCTAAAGATTTACATTAACTAAATATAAGACCAGTCATCATAATCATTTACGAAGTCTTACATTAAATTAGTCATCATAATCATTTACATCATTTACTAAGTCTCACATTAACTAAAGAATGATAAGATGATAATTTATAGTAAAAACTGTAAGATAAGATCTGCACTTAAATATGCTATAAATTCGATTTTATCTGTAGTAAACTGTAGGCTAAGATCTGCACCTAAGCACCTAAATATGTTATAAATTCTATTTTATCTATAGTATCTTGAATCATCTAAAATTAAGTTGAATAAAACGAGAGAAACCAAAGTAAAGTTCTTGGCTCATTCACTCTTCATTTCTGCTAATTTATAAGTAATGTTAACTTTTCCTGTATTCAAGTGAAAAAGAAGAAAATGCAGAAGCATACCTGCAAAAAATCACCAATGTTAACAACAAGAGCCTCAGGTAAAGGGGGCAAATCGATCCACATGTCCTGATGAAGAACTTGGAGGCCACCAATTTGGTTTTGTAGAAGCACTGTGATGAAATCAACATCAGCATGCTTTGTTATTCCCATAGTTAATTCTGGTTCTGGACAGGGTGGATAGTAATGCCCAACAGCGTACAGTCCCCCATTGCACCCAATATCAGCTAAGTAAGTTCGATCCAAACCAAGACCTTCTGATAGTAATTCAAACAATAAACTTCCCAATTTTGACACTTCATCTGTGTATTCCACAAGTATGTCTCTACAAACAAACAAAGTTAATACTATTCATAGACTCATACTTCAATTATTTTCAACAAAACTAAAGAATCATTAGCACAAACAGGTGAAAGACAGAAAAAACTGAAACACACACCTGAAAACTAAAGAATCATCAAATTAGGAACATTATCACAAACAGGTGAAAGACAGAAAAAACTGGAACACACACCTGCATACATATGGTAAGTCTCCTAGTGTAGGGAGATCAGTAGTACGGTCACAGATGAAAGTGTCTTTCCAATTAGCTGGAGCATTGGAATATAGATTGAAATTGCTGTTAAAGATAAAAGGTTTCTTATCACGAGTATAAAATTCCTTTTTCACGTCACTATCTTGCTCAAAAAATCTTACCACCCCATCTAACATCTCCTCCAGAGTGCTCACTGGGATGCCATGATTCACAATCTGAAAGAAACCCCATGTCTCTGATGCTTCTTTCACTCTCTCAACCACCCTTTTCCGTTCACCACTATCTTCATGGATCCTTCCAAGGTCAATAATAGGAATAGTGTAATCTTTATGGCCTGATTCTGAGACCCTCTTGATATTATCAAGTGGGTGATGGAATATGCTAGGGATCTTGGTGATGCCTTCGTCAACAAGTCCTTTCACACCAAGTTTTGTATCATCAAAAGCTTTGAGCTCCTCTACTCTTTTGGAATCTTCCATTAGTATCTCTTCCTTTTCACTATAACTAGATAACCTTATTTTCCTTCTTGTTATAGAGACCTTAAACTTCAATGCAAAATGTTGTCTTCAAACTGCACAATACAAGATCATCGTTGGTGATGGAAACCAAACAGTGAACAGTTTCACTTTGATAATAAATCAATGATAAAACTTCTGTGATTATTCTTTCAAAATATTTAAATAAATGACGAGAAGGAAACACAATGATAACACTCAATTAACCCATCTCGGTCCACACTTACTAGAACTCCATAAAACTTTGGTTAGAAATTCATTACCTGAGACTCCCTCTTTCACTATTGTAGCCACGCCTGAGAAAAAATGAGAAAGAAAAGTGTGTTTTTATGTGGAGATCACAACTGAGAAGATAATGATTGAGAAAAACACGTTGCAGTCGTGCACCATATTTGCTGTCGCTGATAAATTGGAAGAATGTGCGGTTTTCACCAGCATATGCCACGTTTACGTTTTGTTTCTATTTCATGTTTTGATCCAAGTTCGTAGAATGACATCATTTATATCAGTATATAAGTATTGCCAGTTTTAAAACGTTGTTTTCATGGTTTTGTCTTAAAAGACGTATTAGAAAATGAAAGAAGAATGTAAACAACGTATGACTTTGATTCCTAGAGTATATGAAACTAAGAAAAATAAGCTTCATTTTCTGCAAACTTAGTTTGAGAATAAGTCCCACCTGAAAATAAGAAAGTTTAACATCGTAAAATTGAAGAAATTGATGTTCAAATTCAACTCATGTATAATAGGTGTTGTGTCTCTTTAATTGTTCTCCTTCTTGAATGACTCATCACACAGTTGGAGCTACTTGCTATAATATTCTTTCATGTGCAACTTTGCTCCTAATTTCCGTATGTCAGAAGATTTACCAGCTGAATGCAGGTGCCTGTGTTGATTTAAACTAAGGTAATAAGAAACTATATATATATCGTATGTTCTTGAACACTCTGTGATCATGGTCGTAGTTCATGTGTGATCATAGTGATTACATAGCACAGAAACGTGCCTTTGATACAGACTCCAAATCTTATGTAATTATTTAGCTTTCTATCTGTTTGCAGATTCATATTTGTAGTGGAATATTTTCTGGTTTTGGCATGTTGGAGTTGGTTTGTACATATTAGAAGAAATTTCTTAATTTTACAATTTCTCAATTTTCCCGTTTAAAATAAAATAAAAAGTATAAAATTTACAATCTTATTTTTCAGTTAAAATAGATTATATATATATATATATATATATATATATATATATATATA